ATGTTTAAATATTATTCTATAGTTTTGATATAATTGTTGACCTTAGTGGGTTGTCAGCCATTTAACAATCGATTATTAAATTAGTTGAGGTTTATTTCAATAATCATGGTTAATCTAATCAATTGTTTCAGCCCTAATGTATTTTGCAGCTAATTATATTTTAATTACAGTTTTCCATGCTAAGGGATTTTTTATTTTCGGTAAAATAAAACCAACGTCTTCAAGTCACAAATACAATTTTTGAATTTAAACAACCTAAAATTGAATTAATATTTCCCATCATTCAGAGCAGAGCTGAAGGGGGTTCTTTGGTTCTGTAGCCGATGTAGGATGAAACATTTCCCTGTGTCTATAACACGCCGTTTCTGTGCCCCATAAAAACATGTCCTCCCCTCATTAATTATGACCCCTGTTGAATACCACATTCGGTGTCCTGTTCTGCTTGTTCACCTGATGCATCCTATCAGATACTGTTCTGGTGCATTGTGGGTAATATGTAACTGTGCATGGAGAACACTTACTTCAGACTGACAGCTTTTAAAACTTGAGTGACAGTAAAACAGAAGGTGTCCATGTCTGTGACGATAACAAACAAACAGCCGCCCCAAAGCTTCTCCTGACTTCCCTGAAAAACAAAACACAACCAGGACACTGAAATAAAACATCACCTCTTTAAAGGGGAAAACAAATGTGACTTAAACATTAGCAGCTGGGTTGACAGAGCTATTTAGGCTCTGATATGTTAAACATGTGCAGAACGCATTAGTGGGTGTGTATTAGGTACATACAGGGACTTTATCCAAGGATTCCTGAACAGTTTTCCAGAGGGCCCAGGCTCGCTCACACACCAGGTCTGAAATATGGAGGCTTCTGCACAGACTCACAAACCTGGCATCCTTCTCTCTGTGCCTAAAGATGCAGAAAAGGAGTCAGAGCAGCTGACAGCAGCATCCCCTCCCAGGGTAACACTGCTATTTAGAAATCAAACACATTTTCCTGCTTTATGACAGCTTCATACTTCACTAGCTGCCAGTTAATATCCTGGTTTATGGTTTATTTTATGTTCCAGGCTGTAAACTCCCCGGTTTTACTTTAAAAGCAGGCCTTGCTGTTCAAATGTGCTAACTAATTTGTCCAGCAGCTCCTAAGTCAAGCTAACGGGAATTAAATCATCAGTTCATGATTTAAATACATGGTGGCGTGTTCATGGAGATGGGTGGTAAAATGATGCAATTTTTTATTTCCGTATAACTGGTCTTACTTTTTCTCAGATAACTCTGGGCTATCCTGCTTGTCTGGAGAAGAAGCGCTGTCAGCGGTGGGCTTCGGCTCCTTCCTTTGGTTCACTCCGAAAAGGCGCTTTTTAGGCGGCATTTCTTAATAGTCTCTTATTACCTGAAGAGTTGATCAAATAAATAAAACTTAGGTAATTTTATGGGGTCAAAGCAAAGCTCGGGGAAATTTAAAACCCACTGGGCAAGTTCTGTGACAACAATACAGAAAACTCAAATCTACTTCCTGAAACAGATTTAAAGTGTGCTTGTTTTACGAGCCCCTGTCCACCGTATGAGGGGCGGTGATCATATCCTCAGCTCTTCAGGCTCTCAATTTCAAGAAAATATTAAAATAGGTACCATTTTTAACCATAATACATAATATTTAGCCCACTATGGTAGATTTTATCGTTATAAATATCTTAGAAATTATCTCAAAATGTTAATTCACCCTAGCTCCCCTGATGACGCTGACCTGATTGAGATGACAAGAGATGAAAAATCAAACGTACCCAGACGGGGGTAAGAAAAACGCGGGAAAACGAAATACGCAACATCCGCTTGTTTGCGTTTGTCCCGCCACGAGGGTTGAAAACGGAATGGGTGTTTGTTGCTTCCAAACCTTTGTTTTGGGGGATTTTTGGGAAAACGTGTCTCCACTATCCGTCAGAAATTTAACTGGTTTTGAAAGGCGGGTATTCTAAGCTTATTGCTTCGTCTATATAGGAAACACTTATCGGAATGTTTTTTTTTTTTTAATTTATTGATCTTGCAAACGTGCATTGTCAGTTAGGTATATTTAGAATTAAGAATAGAAAATCTCTTTGTTATTGTGTAAAATAAATAAATATATTGTGTCTGAAATTGAAGTTACTCGTTATTTTAGAACGTGAAAAAATGTCTTTAGAATATTTTTTGAACATTCTTATATTGATGGGAGATATATATATATATATATATATATATATATATATATGTATGTATATATATGCAAGTGTGTGTACATATATGTATGTATACAGTCATGGCCAAAAGTATTGAGAATGACACAAATATATTTTCACATGATCTGCTGCCCTCTGGTTTTCAGGTGTGAATGTCAGAAGTTGTCATCACATACAGAGATACAATTGCAATCACAAGCTTTTAATGACAGAATGTGTTAATGCAGCAGGTCAGACCCCTCTTCTTCAGGACCTCCATAATTCTCCCTGGCAATGCTCTCAATCAACTTCTGGACCAAATCCTGACTGATAGCAGTCCATTCTTGCATAATCAATTCTTCCATTTTGTCAGAATTCCTAGGTCTTCGTTTGTCCACCCGTCTCTTGATGATTGACCACCAGTTTTCAATGGGATTTAGATCAGGGGAGTTTCCAGGCCATGGACCTAAAATCTCTATGTTTTGTTCCCTGATATTACCTTTGCTTTATGGCAAGGTGCTCCATCATGCTGGAAAAGCCATTGTTCATCACCAAACTGCTCTTGGACGCTTGGGAGAAGTTGCTCTCGGAGGACATTCTGGTACCATTCTTTATTCATGGCTGTGTTTTTAGGTCAGACTGTGAGAGAGCCGACTCCCTTGGCTGAGAAGCAACCCCACACATGAATGGTTTCAGGATGCTTTACAATTGGCATGAGACAAGACTGGTGGTAGCGCTCACCTCGTCTTCTCCGAACAAGCTGTTTTCCAGATGTCCCAAACAATCAGGAAGGGGATTCATCAAAGAAAATGTCTTTACTCCAGTCCTCAGCAGTCCACTCCCTGTACCTTTTGCAGAATATCAGTCTGTCCCTGATGTTTTTCCTGGAGAGAAGTGGCTTCTTTGCTGCCCTTCTTAAGCACAAGCCATGCTCCAAGAGTCTCCGCCCCACAGTGCGTGCAGATGCACTAACACCTGCCTGCTGCCATTCCTGAGCAAGCTCTGCACTGCTGGTAGTCCAGTGCTGAAACACTTTTAAGAGTGTTTCAGCATCGGTCCTGGTGCTTGCTGGTCTTTTTTGGGCGCCCTGCAGCCTTTTTTGGCAACAAAGAAACCTCTCTCCTTGAAGTTCTTAATGATGCGCTATTGTTGACTGAGGTGCAATCATTCTTGCTGTGATTCTCTTTCCTGTTGGGTCATTTTTGTGCAGTGCAATGATGACTGCAGTTGTTTCTTTAGAGATAACAATGGTTCACAGAAGAGAAACAATGATGCCAAGCACCAGCCTCTTTTTAAAGTGTNATAAGTAAAAAACGAAATGAAAAAATAAGTTAGTGGCTGCGTCCCATAATACGCCGTGCCAGCCAGGACTAAAGCCGTGTCATGTGCCAACGAGCCACCGGAACTGCTGCAAAGCTGCCACTGTCACGAATTGAGCTCGGCCCTGCTGTTGTGCCACTAAGCAGCCCCTTTTCCACTACACCTGTAAGTTCTAATTCTGATTTCGATAAAACTGATTATTTTCATTACAAATAAGTCAAAAATGTGTAACATTTCTAAATTATGGATGACCATTGACAAAATCTTCCAAATAACAACTTTGGTTTATATTTAGTAGGCATGTATTTTAGGGCTGCAACTTAAGATTATCTTGAAAATTGATTAATCTGCTTATAATTTTTTTGCTTAATTGATTAATAATCAGATAGCCAAAGGTTGCTTAAAGAAGATTTTTTAACGAAATTTAAAAAGGTGAAACTAAAACTTTTCCACTTGATGAGTCTGGATAGAGCAGATTATTTGTTTGTTTTTTAATCTTAAATGCAATATGTTTAAATATTATTCTATAGTTTTGATATAATTGTTGACCTTAGTGGGTTGTCAGCCATTTAACAATCGATTATTAAATTAGTTGAGGTTTATTTCAATAATCATGGTTAATCTAATCAATTGTTTCAGCCCTAATGTATTTTGCAGCTAATTATATTTTAATTACAGTTTTCCATGCTAAGGGATTTTTTATTTTCGGTAAAATAAAACCAACGTCTTCAAGTCACAAATACAATTTTTGAATTTAAACAACCTAAAATTGAATTAATATTTCCCATCATTCAGAGCAGAGCTGAAGGGGGTTCTTTGGTTCTGTAGCCGATGTAGGATGAAACATTTCCCTGTGTCTATAACACGCCGTTTCTGTGCCCCATAAAAACATGTCCTCCCCTCATTAATTATGACCCCTGTTGAATACCACATTCGGTGTCCTGTTCTGCTTGTTCACCTGATGCATCCTATCAGATACTGTTCTGGTGCATTGTGGGTAATATGTAACTGTGCATGGAGAACACTTACTTCAGACTGACAGCTTTTAAAACTTGAGTGACAGTAAAACAGAAGGTGTCCATGTCTGTGACGATAACAAACAAACAGCCGCCCCAAAGCTTCTCCTGACTTCCCTGAAAAACAAAACACAACCAGGACACTGAAATAAAACATCACCTCTTTAAAGGGGAAAACAAATGTGACTTAAACATTAGCAGCTGGGTTGACAGAGCTATTTAGGCTCTGATATGTTAAACATGTGCAGAACGCATTAGTGGGTGTGTATTAGGTACATACAGGGACTTTATCCAAGGATTCCTGAACAGTTTTCCAGAGGGCCCAGGCTCGCTCACACACCAGGTCTGAAATATGGAGGCTTCTGCATAGACTCACAAACCTGGCATCCTTCTCTCTGTGCCTAAAGATGCAGAAAAGGAGTCAGAGCAGCTGACAGCAGCATCCCCTCCCAGGGTAACACTGCTATTTAGAAATCAAACACATTTTCCTGCTTTATGACAGCTTCATACTTCACTAGCTGCCAGTTAATATCCTGGTTTATGGTTTATTTTATGTTCCAGGCTGTAAACTCCCCGGTTTTACTTTAAAAGCAGGCCTTGCTGTTCAAATGTGCTAACTAATTTGTCCAGCAGCTCCTAAGTCAAGCTAACGGGAATTAAATCATCAGTTCATGATTTAAATACATGGTGGCGTGTTCATGGAGATGGGTGGTAAAATGATGCCATTTTTTATTTCCGTATAACTGGTCTTACTTTTTCTCAGATAACTCTGGGCTATCCTGCTTGTCTGGAGAAGAAGCGCTGTCAGCGGTGGGCTTCGGCTCCTTCCTTTGGTTCACTCCGAAAAGGCGCTTTTTAGGCGGCATTTCTTAATAGTCTCTTATTACCTGAAGAGTTGATCAAATAAATAAAACTTAGGTAATTTTATGGGGTCAAAGCAAAGCTCGGGGAAATTTAAAACCCACTGGGCAAGTTCTGTGACAACAATACAGAAAACTCAAATCTACTTCCTGAAACAGATTTAAAGTGTGCTTGTTTTACGAGCCCCTGTCCACCGTATGAGGGGCGGTGATCATATCCTCAGCTCTTCAGGCTCTCAATTTCAAGAAAATATTAAAATAGGTACCATTTTTAACCATAATACATAATATTTAGCCCACTATGGTAGATTTTATCGTTATAAATATCTTAGAAATTATCTCAAAATGTTAATTCACCCTAGCTCCCCTGATGACGCTGACCTGATTGAGATGACAAGAGATGAAAAATCAAACGTACCCAGACGGGGGTAAGAAAAACGCGGGAAAACGAAATACGCAACATCCGCTTGTTTGCGTTTGTCCCGCCACGAGGGTTGAAAACGGAATGGGTGTTTGTTGCTTCCAAACCTTTGTTTTGGGGGATTTTTGGGAAAACGTGTCTCCACTATCCGTCAGAAATTTAACTGGTTTTGAAAGGCGGGTATTCTAAGCTTATTGCTTCGTCTATATAGGAAACACTTATCGGAATGTTTTTTTTTTTTTAATTTATTGATCTTGCAAACGTGCATTGTCAGTTAGGTATATTTAGAATTAAGAATAGAAAATCTCTTTGTTATTGTGTAAAATAAATAAATATATTGTGTCTGAAATTGAAGTTACTCGTTATTTTAGAACGTGAAAAAATGTCTTTAGAATATTTTTTGAACATTCTTATATTGATGGGAGATATATATATATATATATATATATATATATATATATGTATGTATATATATGCAAGTGTGTGTACATATATGTATGTATACAGTCATGGCCAAAAGTATTGAGAATGACACAAATATATTTTCACATGATCTGCTGCCCTCTGGTTTTCAGGTATGAATGTCAGATGTTGTCATCACATACAGAGATACAATTGCAATCACAAGCTTTTAATGACAGAATGTGTTAATGCAGCAGGTCAGACCCCTCTTCTTCAGGACCTCTATAATTCTCCCTGGCATGCTCTCAATCTACTTCTGGACCAAATATTGACCGCAGTCCATTCTTGCATAATCAATTCTTGCATTTTGTCAGAATTCCTAGGTCTTCGTTTGTCCACCCGTCTCTTGATGATTGACCACAAGTTTTCAATGGGATTTAGATCAGGGGAGTTTCCAGGCCATGGACCTAAAATCTCTTATGTTTTGTTCCCTGAGCCAGTTAGATATCACCTTTGCTTTATGGCAAGGTGCTCCATCATGTTGTTCATCACCAAACTTCTCTTGGACGGTTGGGAGAAGTTGCTCTCGGAGGACATCCTGGTACCATTATTTATTCATGGCTGTTTTTTTAGGTAAGACTGAGAGAGCCGACTCCCTTGGCTGAGAAGCGACCCCAGACATGAATGGTTTCAGGATGCTTTACAGTTGGCATGAGACAAGACTGGTGGTAGCGCTCACCTCATCTTCTCCGAACAAGCTGTTTTCCAGATGTCCCAAACAATCAGGAAGGGGATTCATCAGAGAAAAAGACTTTACTCCAGTCCTCAGCAGTCCACTCCCTGTACCTTTTGCAGAATATCAGTCTGTCCCTGATGTTTTTCCTGGAGAGAAGTGGCTTCTTTGCTTCCCTCCTTAAGAACAGGCTTTGCTCCAAGAGTCTCCGCCTCACAGTGCGTGCAGATGCACTCGCACCTGCCTGCTGCCATTCCTGAGCAAGCTCTGCACTGCTGGTAGCCCGATGCTGAAACACTTTTAAGAGACTGTCCTGGCGCTTGCTGGTCTTTCTTGGGCGCCCTGCAGCCTTTTTGGCAACAATGGAACCTCTCTCCTTGAAGTTCTTGATGTTGCAATAGATTGTTGACTGAGGTGCAATCTGAGGTGCAATCTTTCTAGCTGTGATTCTCTTTCCTGTTGGGTCATTTTTTGTGCAGTACAATGATGACTGCAGTTGTTTCTTTAGAGATAACAATGGTTCACAGAAGAGAAACAATGATGCCAAGCACCAGCCTCTTTTTAAAGTGTTCAGTGGTGTCATTCTTACTTAATCATGACAGATTGATCTCCAGCCCTGTCCTCATCACCACCCACACCTGTGTTAATGGAGCAATCACTGACACAGTGTTAGCTGGTCCTTTTAAGGCAGGGCTGCAATGATGTTGAAAGGTGTTTTGGGGGATAAAGTTCATTTTCTAGGCAAATATTGACCTCTGCAATTTATTGCTGTTACGCTGATCACTCTCTGGAGTATATGCAAATTACTGTTATACAAACTGAAGCAGTATACATACACACACACACACATATATATATATATATATGTATGTATGTATATATATATATAGTCACAGTCTCACTCACTTTTTCATCTGAAAATATATTTTCATCTGACATTGTAAGTCTCAGACGTTAGAACCCAAACATGCAGTGAAGTTGTCGCTTCTGTTACACTTTGATTGAACCAGATATTCAGTAGTTTGTTAGTGCTGCCCTCTTGTGGTAAAACCTGTGTATGCGTGAGATTGTTGATATGTATTTTTCTTATATAAAAGATCCAAATGTGAAGGCAAATGAATATAATAAAATATTTGAAATTGTACATGTTATCAATGAGCAGAGTCTGTATAACGGATAAATAATAATAAAAAAAAGACAAAAAAAAACATGAGATCAGATTTTGAAAATCCTTCAGAAACAAAAAAAAAATAACATTGCAGTGGAAAAATAGATTTTGTTGTCTTAATTTTTGAATTAAAAAAACAGCAAAAAGTAATTACAGTGAGTAAACATCATACACAATCTTTAACTGTTAACTTTTAATATTCAATTTTCAACTAATGTACTGACAGATGAATGTATATGGAGAGAATTTCACAGATTTTGTTTTAATAATTAGTTGTGTCACATTTAATGTTTTTATCGAATTCTGTTTTTCCATTTTTATTTTATAGATTTTATGTTTTCAGATGTCCTTTTCAATTTAATTCTTACAGAAATTGGTACTTTATTTTCAGATTGAGTTTAACATTCTTGTCAAATCACGTTTCACTATGATCTTTAAAAAAATGCAATTTGTGAAATTAAATCTGAAGAACAAACAAAAACTAGAAATAAAAAAATATATATAATAATGTATAATAAAAAAAAATATTATTACAGCCGTTTCCACTTGAATCACGTATCAATTACCAGATATAACGAGCATATCTAACATAAATGTAGGTTTTGACTTCAGCAAGTGTTTTTTTTTTTGTATTATTGTTGGCATGGTACCATTTAATGAGTAAAACACATGCTAATCACCCGCCCACATTACAGCTCCTCACCAATCAGCATCACCTATACATTCATGCAGCTCCTTGCTGCTGCTGCCTGCAGTAAAAATCCCTCCCCACTGCAGAGGCTCCTCATTTGTGAAAAGTTGCTTTAATTAATCAGGTGAAGCTGATGCCTCATCAACTACACAAATAGACTAAAAGGTTAGTGCTTCATCAGTGCACGTTTGTCCAGTTAAAATGATCATTTGTAGATATGAAAAAATAAAATAAAGTTCATGTGTGGGGGGTAAGCTGAAAAGTTTTACAATTTAGAAATAAAGAAATGTTGAAACACAAATTTTTGAAAAAGCAACAGTGTAATAGTTTTTAGATTGTTTAACAAGGCAGCATACTATACAGCTTTCAAGGTGCTCTCTTAGAACAAACCCCACCTCCAGGCACACAGGGTCAAAAGTGCAACTAGTTTGGTAAACAAAAATGGAAGGTTCATGTTCATTTTGTCACAAAAAAAAAAAAAAATGAAAATAAATAAACCCCTTTCTTTACTGATACCAAAAGACTTGGCAACACCACTACAGTTCCACCAACATGTCACCATTACTACCGTACATAAATGCATTAAGGCCAATCCTGCAAATAAACGCCAATACATTATTTTTCTACATTTTACAGACAGTTTTTAACTTTTAGGATTAAACATAGTATTAAATCTATGTCCTGCATCCCATCAACTTTGACCCGCTTCCTGGTTCCTTCTGAAGGAAAAGAGTTGCAGCATGATCCTGCCACTGCCGTGTTTCACAGTGGGGGTGGTGTGTCCCAGAAGATGAGCAGTGCTAGTTTTCCTCCACACATATAGTGTTTGTATGTCGGACAATGTTAAAAATAAAATAAATATATAAGTTGCCAGCAAAAATTAACTTTCATAAGAAACTTCTTTAATACTTAATTTAACAAATCATCTGATGTATTTATCCTTAAAATACTTTTTATTCCGTTTAAATAAGAAGGTTGGTTAAAATATGTCGATGATGAAAGGGTTTGTGGGGAATACCATTTAGTCGGATATAAATATCAATTCCTTCATGTCCTTCCATGGAGGGGGCTTCATGATGATATTGTTTTTTTTTTTGTTTTGTTTTTTAAATCAGCAAGTTCATTATACAAGACGGTCAACTTAACCTCTGTATGCTGGCATCAATCCAAGGCAGGTTCTTTAAAAACAACATTTATACATACATACACGGTAGAATAAATAAATCTATTATTCCACACTGGCCAGCAGGACACCAGATCCAACAGCCACCAGATCCTTGCTGGGGCGAGTAAAAAAACAAAAAGAAAAATCTGTCTCTTAAATAAATGTCCAACCCTGCCGTCTCCTTATGCATCGCTTCCCATTTCCCAGGTCATGGCTGTAAAATCCATGTCTGTGAGCGTGACGGTGTAAGGAGCCTCCATTTGCTCGGGCTCCACCTGCTCCTCGCTAATCGCTGCGCGGTTTGAGTTGTTTACCCTCCAGGAGTTCAGAGGTCGGATTGATTTTTTGAAGCGCTGCGGAGAAGAAGTCAGAGGCACACCGATTATTATTAATAAATTAGGATATCCAAAGTTTTTTATGACAGCAGGACATAAGTTTTCACATTTTCTTGTGTTAAAACCCCAAACCGTTGGGATCTAAAGTGACTGATGAATATGCTGTATAATGACTAAATGGAAGAATAATTATCACTGGGCATTTAAAAGTACAGCAATGCATAAAAACCTAACAAAAATTAGACTAAAAGACATACAAAAACACATGCAAAGAGGAAATGCTGCAAAAAAAAAAGTGCAAAACGTGCTGTAAATAAATAAATGATGCTAAAACAAAGGATAGATACTGTAAGAGGCAAAAAAAGGACAGTAAAGAGAAGCTATAGTGCAGCTTTGGATAACAGAGGTGCTACAGACCACTAGAGGGAGATGATCAATACTAATATTAAGGGGAGGGATTTATCATTAGGAAATACTAGGCAGTTGCCTAGGGCCTCAAGTTCCTGGGAGCCCCATAAAACTCTGTTGACATGTATGGTAAATACAACTACTCCTTATTTGTGCACATTAATTATGCTTTTGATAAAAATCCTTTCGCTAAAATGCCATCAGAATGCTTCTCCACCCAATTAGATCAGTCCATATACATGCTCAGAAAGGTCCAAACAGACAGCAGCAAACCATTTGAAAACAAATGATGCAAACAGCAGGCTTTGGGAACTTAGCGCTTTTGTAGCTATATTTAGCGACTTTTTAGACAACTCTAGTACTTTTATATCAATAAGGCATCTAGTGCCAAAGATAGCGACTTTTTTTCTGCTAGTGGAGACTTTGGTAACAACATGTAAAAGCACCAAACTCTGCTCTCCAGAGCAAGTAGATTCGTAGCCCAACCTCCTGCTCTTCTCTATCTTTTCTGCTGTCATGATTCATGCAGCTATTATTTCATACAAATGAAAAATGGAGAACAGATGAGCAGATCATTGCTTGTCTACAGTGAAAAGAAGGAGTGTGTTATTTAATTTTGCCATTTTGGAAACACAGGAAGGAGCAACCAGCTAATTGAGCTTAGTGCTCGCAAAAATTCTTTAATTCCTTTTGAGACAGCATAAATAGTCAGCTGAGTACAAAACATAGAGAGGAAAACAAAAAGAAAAGGGACAAGAAGAGAGGGACAAAACGTAGAACAACAATTGTATGTCTATTCTATTAAAAAGCTGTATCTGTATAATGGGCGTGTTTTATGTGTTGTCTTCTCAATTCAGAGGGCCCCCTGCCATTGTTTGCCCAGGGCCCCAAATTTCATAAATCCGCCCCTGTGTATATAGGTCTAAGTTTTGGGTCCATCTGAATCCATCAGATTTTATTGTTATCAAATTTGACTTAAAGAAAATTAGCAGATTAGCAAATTAGGACTAAAGCTTGGTTTATACTCGCTGCTAAAAGTGACCAGTAATCCGGACACCTCAAACCAGACCACAAGCGCAGCCTCAACGCTGGGTTCGCACCTCTGAATTTCGAGTTCCAAATGGTAGGCTATAAATTTGTTCTCCACAAACAAGTTTGCCTTTACTGACATCAAATTGTGTAGAAGGTCAAAGTCCGAAAAGTCACAAATTTTGCAACAGTCACTAAGCTGGCAAGAGTGCATGCTTTGAACTGTGTTTCAAAAATCATGGAGATAAGAGAGTTAGCTGCCCTGCCAGCATAGCCAGAGACATAAGCATAGCATGGCNTTGGGATCTAAAGTGACTGATGCATATGCTGTATAATGACTAAATGGAAGAATAATGATCACTGGGCGTTAAAAAGTACAACAATGCATAAACATCTAACAAAAGTTAGACTAAAATACATTAAAAAAAGAGCTGCAAAGAGGAAATGCTGCAAAAAAAAAAAAAGCAGCAAAGTGCAAACAACTGTAAATACATAAATGATGCTAAAACAAAGGATAAATACAGTAAGAGGCAAAAAAAAAGAAAAAGAAAAGTACAATAAAGAGAAGCTACGGTGCAGCTTTGGTTAACAGAGGTGCTACAGACCACTAGAGGGAGATGATGCATGAAAAGTCAGCTGAGTACAAAACATAGAGAGGAAAACAAAAAGAAAAGGGACAAGAAGAGGTGGGCAATACGTAGAACAACAATTGTATGTCTATTCTATTAACACTTCTGTATCTGTATAATAGGCGTGTTTTATGTGTTGTCTTCTCAATTCAGAGGGCCCCCTGCCTGTGTTTGCCCAGGGCCCCAAATTTCCTAAATCCGCCCCTGTGTATATAGGACTAAGTTTTGGGTCCATCTGAATCCATCAGATTTTATTGTTATCAAATTTGACTTAAAGAAAATTAGCAGAGTCACAGTTGATGAAGTTATGTATGAATTCTAAGAAGGTAGGGATCTATCTTAGTGCGACAGTAAAAAAAGAAATCATGTTAAATATTGTATTTATATCTCTCAGCAGTGGAAGTTTTGCGCATTTGGGACCTATTTTAAGTAGGAAAACAGAAGAATTGTTCTTCTTTCAGACTAAAGCTTGGTTTATACTCGCTGCCAAAAGTGACCAGTAATCCGAACACCTCAAACCAGACCCCAAGCGCAGCCTCAACGCTAGGTCCGCACCTCTGAATTTCGAGTTCCAAATGGGAGGCTATAAATTTGTTCTCCACAAACAGGTTTGCTTTTACTGACATCAAATGGTGCAGAAGGTCAAAGTCCGAAAAGTCACAAATTTTGCAACAGTCACTAAGCTGGCAAGAGTGCATGCTTTGAACTGTGTTTCAAGAATCATGGAGATAAGAGAGTTAGCTGCCCTGCCAGCATAGCCAGAGACATAAGCATAGCATGGCCGTTGTGCAAGGATACATCTATAGTGTCACATTTTGGAAAGGTCAGCGGTTCAAGAAACCCCATATTGCCAGGGGAGCAGTGTGGGATTAAGGGTTAAGGGACCCAGAGTGGCAGTCTGTGGGAGTGGGGCTTGAACTCAGAACCTCTGGATTCCAAGCACAATGCACTAACCACTAAGCCGCCACTTCCCCTTCCAACACATGGCTGCCTGTATTCCAAAAAACAAAACAGATTTAATCTCAACATATTCTTCCACCTGAGCAGCGGATGACTGCAGCTCTTACAGAAAAACCTTGGGCTCCTTGGCTGCTCCTCTGATTAACAAAGCTGGCATTAATCATTCCATATTGGCCAATAGCATTCAATCCAAACAAAATACACTGACTTTAGTGGCTGTCGTGTGACTAAATGTGTAAAAGTTGAATGTTTGCAAGCCTCTGTAACTCGACCTCAGTATAAAGGTTCCAATGAGGCAATACTTACTTCTTTTAGACTCCCGGTTTCCCTGCTGATGGCCACAATGGCCCAAATGGGGATCTGCAAACAGCAGGTCGCACCCATGCACACACCTAAACCTTTGCCCCACCGCGGATAAACGTACGAGCCGTACTGGAGGGGTGTGTTGTACATCTCTAAGAAAATGTAGATCAGGATGAACTGTGGCGAGACACAGGGAGAAAAAAGCTGGATTAGGATTCCAGAACAAATGGCAACTGAAACCACTTTAGATTGTTTAGTAGGTTTAGATCCTTTAATTATTTCTTTTCCATCTCAGTCCTTTACTCAGTGTTTGAGCTCTGATCAAATTACCTTTTCACACATCGTAAGAAAGAGCTGAAATAGTGAGAATGATCTCATACGGGTTGGGGTTTTTCTTTTTTAAACTATTGTGAGAAACAGGAAGTGACATCAGACATTTTTTGGCTCACCAGAAGGAGAAAAGGTGTGCAGAAAACCCAACAGGCTTTGAAGTAAATCAGCACTTTGCTGCACCAAGGAGGGCAGTGGCAGATCATGTCAATGATGTCCTGACAGAACTGATTGACTCCTGATTAAAAAAAAAAGAAAAATGCAAAAAAAACAAAAGTGTAGTGAACAGACATTTATGAGAGACTGGATATCGGAGACTAACTGAAAGTGGTACGGTGGAATGATGGGATTAGTAAAGGAAAGATGTGTGAGGTTAAAGAATGTGAGGTGGGATACCATAGAAGAAGGAGATGCCAATGCACATGAATAGGGTGATGATGATGAGGCCAAAACTGGTGCTGAAGGAATCAATGAGAGTGAACCAGTATATCCCGCCCTATGGAGACACACACAGCGAAGGGGGGGGGGGTTTAATGTGGAACAAATAACAATGGTTTGCAGATGTGGTATAAAATCTCTGAAACCTTAAGGTTATTTTCATTTTTACAATAAAAACTCTAAGTAATTTTTTCTTTAAATAAGGGCATTTTTTTTCTTGAAGTGAGCAGGTAAGTGAGACACTTTGCCAATGGAATAAAACGATTTATATCTAAAATAAGAGAAACAACTGCACTTTCTTATTTCAAGTGAATAATAAATAATTATCTTATTTCAGGGCAAAACAAACTCATTCCATTCCAAATCATCGTATTTACCTGCTTAAGGGTAAATATGCTTATTTTAAGAATTGTTTACTCATTTTAATATCTTTTTTTTTCCCACTCTCTGCATTTAATCCATCCCCTTGGGGAGCAGTGGGCTGCTATTGTGCAGCGCCAGAGGAGCAGTGTGGCGGTCTGTGGGAGTGGTTTTCAAACTCAGAACCTCAGGATTCTAAGCTCTATGCTGAAACCACTAGGCCACCAATCCCCGGCAGGTTTTGCAGTGTGGGTTTGCATCTACCTGCTTTGCACCTCTATGGTTTGTGTCTTTTTTTTTGTTCTTTACAGAATATCTCAGTCAGAGTCAGTTAATATGAACACACCTTCTCTTTAGTCATATTAGAAGCTACTTTTATAAAATAACACTTAGAATATATAAGAATAGGCTTATATTTACTTTACTTTATTTCTACAAAATCATATTCTCTTCTCTGAGGCTTTCCTGTGGAATGAGAAGTGAAGATGCGTTTCTATTGGTCAGCTGACCGTTAGCAACGTTTGTATTGGTCAATGTGAGAGTTTGTTAAGAGAATGTGATCTGAGAAACGCAATTTGAAAAAATGCAATTCATAAAACTCTATCTGAAAAACAGGGTTTTGAAAAAAGAAAATAAAAAATCTAGAAAAATAAATAAATATTTGAAATACCAAATCTGCAAAAAAAGGAGAGTTTTGAAAAAAAAAAATTTAAATAAAAAAATAAAACTATGAATAAAAACATTTTAATTCCAAAATCTGAGAAAAAAAGCAAAGTTCCCTTAAAAAATGTTTTTTTTGTTTTTTTTTATCTCAATGTTTATCAAAGTTTCATTTCTGGATTGCAGTTTGTTCAAATTTCCATTTTACATCCTTTGCTTCCAACATCAGTGGAACAAAATTTACTCCATATTAAATGTTTCACTCAGTGAACTGATTTACTAAATTAATTTTTTAATAACGCTCTAATTTATTGAATTGCTCTATTTATTTTGAATCTGGCCACCGTTTCCAAGGTGGAAAGTTACTTGTTACATTTACTGTTGAATAAGTCCAATATGTGAGCACTTTGTACTGTTTTGAGTAGTTTTAAAAAAAACTGGGCATAAGTAGGATTTGATTCAAGATTATCCACTTAGTCACATTTAAAAATCAAATCCCTTAATGAGTTAAAAAACAAAAAAAAGCAAAAACACTGAAAGCATTGCTAGTGATCCATTGTGTGCTTCAGAGCGATCAGATACCGATATGGAGGGGGGACAATCAGACATTACAGGAAGCAAACTCCGCTAAAGTATGATTCACATTTCAACATTGGGAAAGAAAGAAACTGAGAAAACAAGCCCGTGGCCATATTTAAAACACCAGATTAAGTTTTAGCATATAAAAAGGAAAAAGCTTTATAATGAAATCAATAACTTGACATCAAACCTAAACGAGGAGGCAAAGAAAGAGCAATTTTTAAGTTCATGTTTCTTGTTAGAAAGTGGTGTCTGACTTGCAAATCGGCATTTGTTGTGTTTTTTTTTACATGATAGCTGGACGTAACCCAAAGCTAAAAAAAGTACCAACAGTGCTAACTGGGGGGTGTCCAATAGCGCTAACTGGGGGGCATGTAAACATTGGATGTAGGAGCACGTTGGTGGACTATCTAGTTGATATTCACCACTATGAACATGTAAACATGCCTAAACCTAAACCTACAATGCAGCGTAAGAGTTGATTCCTTCCCATTATCATGGCAACCCCAACCCCCATACATAATCCAGACATGTTCAGTTGAAAAAGCTTCCTGGATGGGAGGCAAAACATCTTCAAACTTAGAAGCAAAGTCCAGCGGATGACTTTTTTGGAACGCCTAAACCATGTTCAACTTTATAGAAGCTGTTGAGGATGATCTGCATCATAATCATGCCTAACACCTACAAAATACTGATGATTTCATTTGTTGAGCTGCTTTATGTTTCAGTAATATTTTCATTTATAACAAAAGTCCTTTAAGTTAAAAACTGTTTCAGACCAATATGTGGTTTTTGTAAAAAAAAAAAGCTCAAGAGCGAATTTCTTCAGCACACAAAAAGATAACTTTGACAGAAAATAAAATTTTAATTACGTATTTTTTTTACTTTTATTTGATTATTATTTTACTTTGGTCAATAACATCTACATTGGAAAAAAATATCAGAGTAACTGTAGTTTCATTTAAGTATATTATCTTTGTACTCTTTCCATCTCTGACAAACTCTCAGTATTACTTTTGGCATGGACTTTGACTAGGCCATTCTAACCAGATATGTTTTAATTCAAACCATTGCATTGTAGTTTTGACTGTTTGTTAAGGGAGGCTGTCCTGTCAAGATGTAAAACTCTCCTCCCACTGCAAAAAAAAAGCTGGCCCACAGCATAATGCTGCCGCTGCCACTTTTTAAAGTAGCGATTATGTGTCATTGTTGCTATAATATATAGACCTAAAACAGGAAGTGAGGAAGTGTATCCACCAATATTCCCTTACAATGAATTAAGATAAAAACAAAGGCATGCCACACTTTTAAGATTTTGTGTATAACCTATTTTCAACATTCTCTACATACTTTATAATGACAATTTTTTTGTTTTTGTATAATAAAATCCCTGTGTAAAATCCACTTGTGTGTTGCATAAGTGCTTCCCTGTGCAAGGCACTGTACAGATGGAAACAAATTCACGTTATTCCCAAACAGACTCACATCCGTCACCAGCAGGAGGCCCATCAGGTAGAAGACAAAACACAGCGTGCCCAAAAACAAGGCCTTATGGAAGGTGTTCCTTCTGAGGTTGGGGAACTCATCCAATACGGCTGTGGTGATGCCCTCCATGTTGCCAAACTGTGAGGAGACAAGGGGGGGTGGGGGCTGTGTGTGTCAACCACTGATCAACAGATTCATCATATTCCTGCAGTTTTTTACCCCATTTACTCTACCCTCTGAAAACCGATGTGACTGGGCATAAAGTACCTCGGGTCAAGGACTTTGACACGGTCTCTGAATCTCTCCGTCTCAGCTTCATAGACGGGAATGATGCCGTTACCATGTAATGCGCAATGGCAGCTGTGATTTGTTTATGGCACGGAGAAGTTTTCTCATACTGGGTGAAGTGTGCCAACGACTCTGTTATCTTCAGCTGGATGTGGTTTTTGTTTTTGCAACCTCTTCCCACTGTTTCCCACATCTTGCTTTACCTTGCATTTTTGGATCCTTTTGTATTCTTTTTCATGGTTCGTCTTTTGGTGATAGAAGAGGTTTATTGTGTTTTGCCGTTGGATGAGGGAACAGTCTTGTAGCATTGCAAACGAGCGTTGTCTACTCCATGTTGGCTTTTTTTTAATCCAAATGTAACCAAATCACAGATGTACCCCCTCTTTTTGGTAAAAGTGCTTCATCTTGGGCTGCCTGCGTAGCTGTCACTGTTTGACTCACACGCGGGTTTGTCTCAAACCCGCGTGTGAGTCAAAAGCTGTGAAGCAGCATCATCTTGTAAAACCACAAGACAGTGCTCTTTTGTGGAGTAAAAAAAATATAAATCTTGTTTATAACTTATATAAGCTTTGTTAAAGCTACATTAGGGGTGGAACGGTTCACAAAATCCATGGTTCGGTTCACGGTTTCGTGGTCACGGTTTTCGGTTCGGTTCGGTATATGTTTATTGTCACACCGAAAAATAAAAACATTAATAAAAATTTATGAAAAAATAAAAATTTATGAAATTAATGAAAAAATCCCCAAAAACTAATGAATTATAATTATTTGTAATGATCCATGGAAACCATAGATCATTTCCACATGCTTTGCTGCTTTGAATTGAATCATCTCGCGCATGCGCTCTATGATCTCCAATGAACTCAGAGCGGAGCGGACGGGAGCCTCAGTGGAGGCTGTATGCTTTGCTTTGAGCAGCCGGTCTGGAGCGGAGCGCTGACGGAGTATGTGGGATTTCGGGGTTAGCATGACATGTTGGTCGTGTTGCTGTTAGCATAAACATAACGTGTTGCACAACGCTTGCACACTGTTGCACTTTTATCCACAACTTTCTTTCCGGCGTCATCGTAGGTCACTCTAAATGCAAAGCGGTCCCATACAGCAGACCTATAAAGTGCTGCTGGCGCGTCTTCCAACTCCTGTTCTTTCCCACTCGCCATACCCACACAATTCTCCACAACAACTGATTTTTTTTCTGCTACGCTGCTTCGCTTCTTCTCCTTGCTTACTACTGGTGGTTGGCTTTGGTCGCAGTACTGCCACCTTCTGCTCTGGAGTGTAATCGCTTCGCCTATGAGAAAAAGGAGCAGCGCATGAACCGAACGCAACACACGCGAACCGAACCGAGACAGTCGAACCGAGCGGTTCAGATGGTTTTCATAAACCGTTCCATCCCTAGGCTACATGACTACACTAATACGTTCCTGATAGTCTTCCTCAAGAAATATTTGCTTGAATATGAGATTAAATGGTGTTAGAAATTATAGAAACGATAGAATAGAATTAGCACGATAGACACTTTTCTATCGCCTGTACAATATGTATTGTCTTATCGCCCAGCCCTAGTGGAAATCGTGTGGCACGGTAGGGAAGTTAGTACTTTTATGAATGTCTGAAATTTCCTGATTACGGAGGCTGAATGTAAGGAGATGATGCTGTCTGCTCATGTGCTCTTAGTTATCTGAGAACCGAGCCAGAACTGAACCGCGCCGAGCCCTACTGATGAACTAGGACCAGTTTAGCACGGTTTGGTTGTGTCTGACCCGGTCCAGTTCAGTTGTGCATGTCATTTACACTCAGCAGTTACCTCGGTTACCGTGCTCGGACTGATTTTGACACAGTTTCAAAAGGGTAGTGTAAATGGGGTTTTTGTCTAATTCGCCTTACCAGAGTATCGACCCCAAGCATGAATAGCATGAGGAAGAACATGATAGACCAAAAAACAGAGCCTGGTAGGAGAGCGAGCGCTTCTGGATAAGCAACAAAAGCCAGTCCAGGACCTGAAGACAACAAAGGATCATGTTTAGGATTTCTACTGACGGCCTTTACTGGCTGCAACCCAAAAGATGCGGACAGAGAGAAGCCTGGAAGCTACCTGTGTCTGCCACCTTTCCAACAGGCACTCCCTTCCTCCACGCCATGTGACCCAGGATGGAGAATATAGCAAATCCTGCAAAGAAGCTGGTGCTGCAGTTTCCAACTGTGATAACGATGGTGTCCCTGAAATCAGAGAAAATTTTCATCTGAACATCATCTTCAGACTTGACTGTATGAGACACAATGGTGCAGCAGCCCTACCTGATGACGTTGTTGTCGAACTTATTGTAAGACGCCATAGAAAGCAGCCCTCCAACCCCTATGCCTAAAGAGTAGAAGATCTGAGAGGCGGCATCGTTCCACACCTGTAATGTTTAAGGAAAAACTGGGTTTAGATTATGGAGAAATTAAATACAAGTTTTATTTTAAAGTCTCTCAAGCCCAGAGGTTGGCTCATGCAGAGAGAAGTTGTGAGGTAGATTGTGCAGTTTGACACAGCTGCTTCAAGTAGAGTGTTTTTTTCAGGATCTGCTTGTCTCACTGCTGCGTTTAATATATTGATGACATGATTGATAAAAGTGTATCTCCTCTTGGCCAGTAGGTGGCGCACTCACATTCTCCTGCTCTGGTTCTGTAGTGCCAAAAAGCTAGTTAGCAGTTCTGCTAACAGTAAGGCTGTGTCTGAACATTCGCCCTAAACACTATATAGTGGTTACACCATTTTAGATGATTGTCCGAACATCTAGTGGATGAAAAAGTAGTGGACTCGAAATTTCCCACAATGCACTATGAAAAGGTGCATTGTTGGAACTCAAGGGATTTTATGTGGCGGCGACAAATTACAAAAATGACGCAGGTACTGTGCAGGGAGGCGGGGTCAAGCCGGGTATACATGATATTTTCAATTATTGTACTCAGCTACAGCTCAAACTTTATAGTGAAACCTCAGGGTTTAAAAGTTCACAGCTCACAATGTATGTTCTCACAATGTGCAGCCCTACGCTCTGCATGTCCAAAAACCACACGTCGGACTCAGTGCCGAGAGATGGCGCTGGTCAGACTCGTCAATCTGGAAGAAGAAGGTTCTCGTCAATCTGCGCAGAGCGAGGTTCTGGTAAATCGGTTCGTAGCTTTGCTTCACAGCTGGATTAACCCATGAAGACCTTACGATGGCCGACTGAATTTTAAACATATTTGATTTTCTCCCAACTTTATGAGTCGTGATCGCAAAGTGAAAAGTAAAATTTTGAACGACTATATAAGACAATAAAAGGCTGAAAAAAACCTCCCAAAAAACATGAATTTGAGTTTTTAGATGTCCAAAGATTATTTACAGGCTTTATGTATAGCACATTAACAGACCAAAACCACAAAGTGCTTCACAATACAGTTTAAAAACACCAGAGAATACACGATATAAAAGGCCAAGACAATAGGTAAGGGGTGTAAGACTGAAGGGTCTTTTTTTTAACCAAACCATGACTGTAAAGTCAAGTACAAAGTGTTTTTTTTACGGCTCTAGTGGCTCCTTTTTTTAAACAATAGGCTGACGGGAAAGGGAGTATGAGAGAGAGGAAGAGAGGAATGCTACAAAGGACTACACGTTGGATTTGAACCCAGATCGGCCACCGAACATGGGTCGTTTCCACCAACCACTGCTACACCGAAGCACACCCAGTACAAAGTTATAGTAATAAACAAATAAGCTACTGCCAATTAAAGTAAACCAGACAAATCAGTTCCTGTTGTGTAAAATTTATACAAAAAAAGCCCATAAAAATAAACACAGAAAAACATTTAGAATACTGGTTTATTTGAAAAAGAAACGGATAGATTAATTGATTAATAAAATAATTGATAGGTGCAGCCCTCGTAATATCACAAAATTTAACAATGTTGACAGAAAACAGGGACGTATGCTCTGGCGTACCTGTGCGTTAGCTAAACGGCTCCAGTCTGGTGTGAGGTAGAAAGCGACGCCCTGAAGAGAACCTTCCAGTGTGGCACCTCGGATGATCAAAACAATGAGGACAAAGTATGGGAAGGTAGCTGTTACATAAACCACCTAAAGAACACAGACAGACATTAGACTGAGACAATGTGTCGGCAGGAGGAGCACAGTAGGTTTGATGGAACAGTAGTGTTTTTTTTTATTTAATATGGAGTAAAACACAGCAGCAGCTCACCTTCCCAGAGCTGCGGATGCCTTTCAGCATGCAGAGGAAGATGATGATCCAGGCAGCCAAGAGGCACAGTGCCAGGGGCCAACGCACAGGGCCCGGGTCATGAAGGCCCTCACTGTTCACGACACCCAGAACTTTCTCACTGCAAACGAGCAGAATAGATTTATGAGCTTTAAAATAAAGAATACAAGGAACCTCATTCTTTATTGATGACATAATGAGAGGATTGTGGCATCAAAAAGAAAACAGCCTGCTCTAAAATATTAATGGAAATAATATTTAGTACTTCCAATCATAGTTAAAAAAGAGGATATGGATCAAATTCGTATTCCCAGAAACAAATCTATCTTTACAGCATCCTTTAAAATATCAGCACTTATGTTTAAAAAAAAGCTTTGAACAAATTTCAATTTTGATTTAATGCAGAAGCAAAATATCACAATAATAATAAAAAAATAATAATAACTTTGATTTAAACAGATTTCTGTGTTCTTTTGGATCAGACTTTTCAAATCCTCCATTAGCCAATAGTATGACACCCAATATTTCTGCTAACATTTTGGGGCAGAATTGTGAATGTTATTAAGTTTTCTTAGAGAATATGTGGCTTCCTTTATATTTTGGTTTAGTTATATTGAAAGGTGAAATAACATTTACACTGACAAGTATCCACATTGATGCAAACAAAACACTCACTTCCAGAAAATTTCTGTTGGGCTGTGCCGTCCTTCCATGGAGCTATTGCCAACGGTGCCATTACTGCAGATCAGAGCGTTGCTCAGGGCATCACACGACCAGGGCAGGGGGCTCTGGAAAGAGCTGCCCAGGTAGTAAAATGTCCACGCTATGATCACATTATAGTAGAGGCACACCAACGTGGACACACACAGCATCCCGATTCCAATGCCTGCATAAAAAGACACGGTGGTGTAAGGATCATATGACAAACCAATAGTACACTATTATGTAAAATCAATTTGATGCATTGCATGTAAAATGTCCAGGGCATTTTTTTGGAACCTGCCAATCCTCCAAATGCAGGTAACTTTTGTGATTGGGTGAGACTGTCAATATACCTGCCATGTTGGTGGGCAGCCTGAAAGGCAACACACATCAATGAGCACATGTTGTTGACCAATCACGTAGTCTATTGTTTTTAAGCAAGCCATGCTTTTTTGTTGGATTTTTTAAATGAAATGTGGGAAAATATGGCTCCTGTTTCACCGTTATAACACTTAAACCCGTTATTAAGGTGAAGCAACTTCCATTTCCAAGCTGTCTTTTAATGCAACATGAGCATACACATGCAAGGGCAGAAGTTGGACACAGACATGATACATGAGTATGTTTAGAAAAACAGCAGAAAGATGCACAGTTTATTTCTAAACGTTGGTTGTCTGCAAATTATACTTGTTAGTAAAATGATGATAAGGTAAGACATGGTGCAGCCAAGGACAGAAACAGCCTAACATGATTTGGGCATTGATTGCCTTGCATAGCTTGAACAATTCAGTTACCTTTATGATAAATACTTATGTTTGAAACATTTTTATAAAAAGCTCATGCTTTTTTTATTTCCGATTAAATGTATATATTTAACTTTAAACCAGCAAAGCTGTGAGGTGCTCAACATTAGCATTAGCAATATGATGTGTTTGCTAAGGTGGCAAACTAAAGTTAGTGAGAAACAGGAACATTTCCTGGATTCTAAACTAGATCTGCTTTGTCGATAAAAGTCAGTTTAGCAGGTTTTCTTATTTTCATTATCGGCAATTTAAGTATTTATTTTTTGGTGAGTAAGGCTAGAACTACCAACACATTCTCTCAGAGTGCATACACACCTTTATTAAAACGTAATGTTTCTGTAGTGTAAAAAAAACAGACTATGATGAATCATTTTAAACCAAAGAGATCTGATTTTTATCCAGAACAGCTCAATTAAAAACAAATAAATCTTTAAAAGAAGAAAACAGAAAAGAGATTATCTGCAAGAGTGTGCATAAAACGTTACAAAAAAAACATAGTTAAAGCAGCATTCTATTAAATTTTATTTTACTTTTGTAAAATTTTACCTGGATCCTACATCTAAACATATCAATTACAAGTCAATTCTAGCTTATTTAGGGTTTCCCCAAACACATCAGAATAAAAGAAACATAGCCTTGTACATTGCATCCTCATAGATGTTCCTAGATGTTTCTTTAAAAAAACTGGTCTTCTTTTTGGACACACTGGTGGTGAAAAAAAACATATTCAATTTTCTTGCAAACCACTGAACATTAAAGACCAAACACCTTGTGGGATTGTGATCCATATGTTCTACTTAAGGTTCATAAAACAAGAAACGTGTCTTCTACAAGGCTTTGGAAGATTTCAAGCAGGTGTGGACGGTTTCTTTGTACTCTAACAAAGAAGTTCTCTGTTATAGCACAGCTTCTTATTCCAGATATAAAAAGCATAGAGACAGTTGCTGTTTTTTTGTCATGAAGTGCAAAACCATGACCGGCTAGAAATTCCTGAAGCATTTTCTGCATCGCCTCCTGCTTCACGGTAGCCCATCTGACCAGTTTCACTCCTATTTTTTCATCTTTTCACATTGACTGCCTTCCTTGTGTTGTGTTCCTAAACTAAACTTTTTACAACAAGAGCATTTTGATCTTTTGCAACATATTTTCAGACAGTAGCTTTTTCTAATGGATGGAAAAGAACAACATGTACGAAAATCCTGTTTGACTTGCTTAACTGAGATGTGCTGTTAAAAAAGCCTGATGCTATATTTGAACAAAAAGGTTCCTCAATGACAAACTAGCTTCAGGATGTGCACATTTATTCAACCATTACAGAAGATTAGAGGCAGGCTGATACTTTGGGATGAAACTTGCAGGAGTTCTTTTCTTGTATCTGCATCAGCCAATGCATGCATGCATTCACCTATTCATTAGTGTATCCTACAGCCATGCCTTTACATCATGTGAGGTGCATCCATCCGGCCTCCTTCCATTTGCCATCCGTTTTTAACCTTTTGTTTGATTTCCCAACAAATTTTTATATTTTGTTTCAATTGAGACTAGTGTAAAGTTTTAGCCTGACGTAGTCTGACTCAATTCTAGTCAGAATATGAGTCTGATACTGCTCCATAGAGCTG